GTTTGGCAGAAGGAAACCCAGCCTTGTGTACCTTGGCGCGGCGGCGCCGCTGCCTCACATTCCGTTAGGCCACCCATTTCCTGCAGGCCTGGGTGCTGCACAAAGGGGATGGCTGGTAATTAATGCTGGGAGAGCTTTAGCACTTCTTCTTCACTTCACATGCAGACAAGACCTCGTGTAGGTGTCCCATTCAGCACTGTAGCAATGCTGGGAAGCTCACTGGATCCTTTATACAGTGCAGCAGAGTGGAAGGTGGTGTTCTGGTAGTTGGCCTTGTTTTAAAGAGTTTTATCCATCTGTTTGGACACCTGCCACTCTGAATTTAGTTGCTCCTTAAAGCTGGAAGTTAGGTTTCCTGGAGCAAAGTGATAACAGAGAACATCATCATGCTTATTTAGCACGTGCTGGATTTGGTTTAGTGAGGTGCAGATGATACAGGAGGAGAGCTCTCGTAGCCAGGGAGCTGGAATGCTGTTTTTTCTTTTCCACATACACCATGAGCTTGGCTGTGCTCTGAGCCTTGGAATCAGGCAGTTTGGTTGCCCTGAGGAACAGACATTGCAGTTGCAGTGCAGTATTTGGTGTATTTTGATGCTGTGCATTGCGTTATGAAGTGAACGAGCAAGTAGGTTGCTGGGTGCATGCACGTGGGTCACAAACACACACTGGACTGAAAAACATTCTTCTTTTACTTCCAGGATCCATGGGTTGAATGAGAGGATCTCCGTTGAGGGTTACGAGAAGCAGGTCGAGTTCCTCTTCCACCTGATTCAGAACTGTGACACTGAGAAGCTGCCAGAGCCTCACGCCAGCTCCCACGAGCTGTGAAGAACACCCCTGAGAAGAGCAACTGCTGAGGTGGATGAGGGGATGGAGGGGGCTGGGCCAGGAGACGTGATTGTGGTGCATATTAAGCTACATCTGGAATTTGGGGATTGTACAGTGTGGTTTCCATACAGATGGAAAAACTGCTGGTTGCTGCTTTAGGCAAATGTGTGATTTGCTGGACCCAAGACAACGATGAACCCTGACTTCTGTTCCTCCCTGCTCTGACATCCAGCCATTAATAATGGTATTAATTTTTTCAGCACTTCCTTTAAGCCTCTGAAATTGGCAGTCACTTAAATCTGAGCTATAATCAGCAGTCACTCACCTGTCAGTAAAAGAGGTGAATCTTCTGCGGGTGCTTTTGTTAACTCATTTGGTGCAGGTAATGGTTTTTTCACAGATGATGTGTGTGTCAGAAGCTGAAGTGGAAGGTCTGTGCCATGGGGTGGCTTTCATGTGGCTGGCAGAGTTACTCTGAGGTTTTCTTTGTTGCTCTTCTGCTTGGTGGGGGCTTCTTCCCCAAGTGGTGCTCTCAGCCAGTGGTAACTTGCTCCCGCTACGTTCTCCCATTCATGCACTGGTTTCTGCCTCTAGTTTAAAATGAAACTGAGCTCCAGAAGTTCCAGTGAGTTGCTTTAACTGTTGTTCCCCGATCTCAGAGGTGCTGAAAACTTTTCTCCCTGTCTGTTCAGTGACTTTGTGTCTCTCTCACTCCTTGGCATGGCCGCGGGTGTGTTGTGTGGCGGGTGGCAGTGAGGAATAACAAACCACTATTGTCTGCTCCTGTGTACTCTCTTTTCACTGAATCACCTTCTGCAGTGCATGTGTCTCTCTTGTTGCTCTGAGAACTTGCTTGGGAAGGCTGGCGAAGCCCTTCATTTTCTTCCAGTGCAGCAGGAGCCTTTGTTCCTGCACTGCCTGTGCCAGCAGTTTCACTTCACTGCAGCACTTGTGTTGACTCAGCTCTTTGGGACTCCTGGTGTAGACTTTTGATGTTGCCTATTTCATCTTGCACTAGCACGCCTGTCTTTGTTAGCACTGAAAGCTTAAGCATTCTTTTGGCCTTCAGAGGCTCTTTAGTTGGGGTTACCATTATTCATTAAACAAAGGATTAACAACTAGGTGTGAGCCAAAGACAAGAGTGGGTGAAAGCTGCCTAGTTACACTGACTTCAGGTACTAGTGCAGCTCCTCCTCTTGCACTGCTGCAGGGATGTCTCTCTTTCCAAACTTGAATTATACACTGGAATGGGTGGTGGTTCTGCTCTAAATTCATAGTGTAAAAGGTACTGGGATGTACAGGAAACACCCTGAAATGTATCCTGAAAACCAGCGATGGAACCGTGATTCCTGTTCTTTCCGTTCCCCATTCTCTTATTTATTTGCAGTCTGATCTTATCAGCCAATGGGCTCAAGCTGTGTCCATCTACTAAATAACTGAAACCAGATTGGCATTTTCATCTAATAAAACAAGGAATGCAGACTCTTTCCTGATTATTATTCAATCTTTTTATGTAACTGTATAATTGCGATACAGTCATTTCCACACCTGATCCTACACCAGAGCAAGTCCTAAAGTTTCCATCAAAACAAATCCACATATTTTCCAGCCTGTTTTAATCTTTGCACCCTCCCTGATGCTCCTCTTTCTATACCAAATGAGCTCACTCTGTTTGCATTATTGGGCAGTAAATAGCTTGCATCTTTTCCAGTTTATTTCCCTTTGACTGTTTGCCCTAATGTCATGGATTTGTTCAGCCACGTGTCTGTGGCTCTTTTGTGAAGGTGTCAGTCCTCTTGTAAACTCCTGCTGCAAACACAGCAAAAGCCATGTGTCAGGGTACAGCACAGCATCAAACACATCCCTGGCAGTGAGAGGGGGAGGAGGGTTTTGTTGTTTGGTTTGGATTTGGGTTTTTTTCTCTGGAAAGTGTGTATAAAGATGACTGAGACTAAAGCCATCACTTTGCCTCTGGCAGGATGGGGTCAGCATCGTTCAACATCTTCATTCATGACCTGGGTGATAGAACAGTGTGTCCTCAGCAAAGTTTTGCAGGCTTTAACCTGCCAGAGGGGAGATTGAGATGAGCTCTGAGGCAGAAGTTCTTCCCTGTGAGGGTGCTGAGGTGCTGGCACAGGGTGCCCAGAGAAGCTGTGGCTGCCCCATCCCTGGCAGTGTTCAAGGCCAGGTTGGACACAGGGGCTTGGAGCAACCTGCTCTAGTGGAAGGTGTCCCTGCCTGGGGCAGGGGTAACCCGGAGCTGGATGAGCTTTTAAGGTCCTTCCAACACAAACCATTCCATGAGTCTATGATGCAAAACTGGGAGAAACTGCTGACACCCCAGTGGTTGTGCTGCCATTCACAGGGACCTTGACAGGCTGAAGAAATGGGACAACAGGACTCTTGGGAAGTTCAGCAGAGGGAAATGCAGAATCCTGCACATGGGGAGGAACAACCCCGTGCTGGGGACTGGCTGGGATTTGTTGCCTGTTTTAATAGCAGATGGGTCCTAAAGACATAAAGCATCCTTTCTGTTTGTAATCTCCCCAAATCACTCCTGTCTCTGCTCCGTGAGGATTGTTTCTTTAAAGGACCTTCATCTGGAGATTCGTTTTGCTGCTGAAGGGAGAGTGAAGGGCAAACAGTACTAAGAAAGCAGGCTTGGTTTGGCAGGTCCTGTGCAAATGTGTGCCATGAGGCTTTGCTACTGCAGCTCGTTGCAGAGCCTCACTGAGTGCTGCTCATCAGCCTGTGCTGGCATCGTGCAGTGCCTCTGCCCCCAGTAGATGTTCAACAGAGCTTTACGCCAACCTGAAGCCACTAAACTCAAGTGTTCTGAACAGGCTGCATCTTGCAAAATCCAGTGTTCTCTTTCCACCTCATTGCACTGCTCCCATGAGATGTCTTCTGAAGATGTCTCTTCACTTGGGTGATATTTCCGATCTTAGTGTCCACATGTAAGTAACAGGGTAAGGATGATGTGCTGCCCTTTTCAGCTACAACTTGGCACTGTAGAAGTAGTTACTTGCTAATGCCAAGTACATCATGAAAACACATTAATAGCTCTGTGAGTTATTCTTTCTGGGGTTTGTACTGAGTCACTGTGCTTTGAGCGTGTAGAGCAATCAATCAGCTCTGATTCATCAGAGGAGGAAAAGCTTGAGGTTCTGCTCTGAAGACACATAACCTGGTATCAAAACCCAAAAGGGGATTTGAATGCTCTTGGTATTAGTGTGTTAACATGTTCCTGTGTTATATCCATAGCAACTTCCTTTCCCTCCCTGCATGGAGCCAAGTCGACAACAGTTACTCAAAGTATCCTGTCTGTAGCTGTCTGGCCACAGCAGGCTGCTGGGGAGCAGAGCAGCTGATTTAGGGTCATGAGGGCTGCTACACCATGGAGAAAAGGTCATGTTCCACACCTGCATTTTCTAAAGAAAGCTCTGTTGCTGGCCCCTCTTTCAAAGGGCTTGGGTTATTTTCAGCTTCAAGTGCCCAGGCTGGAGGAGAATACAGGAACAAGGTGTTGACAAAGTTGTTTCCTCCAGCCTCGCTTTTGACACTTGCATTCTTGGCTCTTCTGCCATATTCTTGCTGTTTCATGGAGCTGGTGAAATCCATTTTCTCAAGCAGGTGCTGGCAGAGCTTCTGCTCAGCCCTCCACTGAGCCCTGGAGCTGTGAGTGCTGTAGAGCAAGACACCCACTGGGGAACCCTGTGGTGGCTCAGTCGTAGCATCTTTTGCCATTACAGAGCAGCAGCCCTCACCTCTTGCTCGCCCTGACCTTCAGTGCTCTTCACTGCTGCCTGCTGCTGCCAGGTGGAACCCTCACAGGTTCTTGCCAGTGCATTGAGCCTCCTCTGCAGCTCCTCACAGAGCTCCAGCAGCTCTGGAACTTGCCCTTTTAGTCCCCAAATTCAGGTTCTTGCAGTAACTCTTGAAAGAAACCCCAGTGCTGTGACCTGAGAGGTCTCTGGTGCAGCACTGGCAGTTGCAGGTCAGCATCTGCCGGTGCCCAGCGCAAGGCTGGGGCGTGCAGAAGGCTCTGGGGGGTGTGAGCTTTGCTGTGCAGGGGCTGGGCTCTGCTTTCCTGTCCCACAGCTTCCAGGGCGGCCGAGATCAAGAGCTCAGCATGGTGGGGAAGGGAGTGACCTGCTCGGCTCAGGAGGGATCCCTCTGCCTCATTCCAGAGCTGTGGTGCTGGGCCCCAGAGGAAGCTGCAGTCAGCTCTGAGCAGGAAGGAAAGCTTAGTGCAGGGGGTAGGGACACAGGGTAAGCTGATGGATGTACCCATGAGTGGGTCACAGCCTGGGCACTGGGGTGTGAGAAGCCACATGCAAGTCACGCAGCACATCCCAGGGAGCTTTTGACACAGCTCTGAGTTTCTAACCCAACACCGTTGTGTGTTTTGTTGTAGCTCTGTCAATGCTCAGGCCACTTGGACTCTCTGCCTGCTCTTGCACTAGGAAGGCAACCACATGGCAGGGCCTGGCTGCAGCTCAGCACTTCACCAAGTGACCAGTTCCTAGCTCATGGCAGGAACACTCTGCTCAGGGGCTGTGCTGGGGCAGTGCTGAGCCTCTCCATGTGCTCTCTGTCCAGTTACCACAGCTACAACAGGTTGTTCTCATGCTTTCTGTATGGTGAAGATGATCAGCAGTGAATTACCACCAGGAATTGATCCAGTGGCCAGAGGAAGGGGTAGAAACTCCTCCCTAGGGTATGAAAGCCCATAGCAGAAACCCTGAATGGTTTTTTTCCAGCTTTTAACTGTCTTGGCTGTACTGCAACCACTACATCTGGCATGTGCATATCTACTCTACCTTTAAATGTACCAGCTCGCCTACTGATCCTAGTCTAGCTTCAGTACAGGGCTGACTTCAGCCTACTTGACTGTACAAGTACTCAGGAGAGTAACTCTTTGCCATGGAGCACTTGTAAATGTTGTTCCTGCAGTGCTGCATCAAGGCCAGGTTGGACACAGGGGCTTGGAGCAACCT